ATTGTGTATCTGCTGCCATGAAAGCATGTTTACCACACCGCTGCCAAACAATGACAGCATCTATTCACTCTGCTATTCCAGGTTTAAGATGTCATGTTACAATATTTATAATTTTGCTATTATTTCATAATCAGTCGATCCACATTATCAAATAACACTGATAAAGGCCAACATTATTCATGTGATTCAAGAGACAAGCTTTAACAGTGGGGCAGTTAATCAATTAGTCATGTATTCCACAAATCAAAGCAAAGGAGTTATGATCACCACCACCCTGTTTATTATGTGTATGACTATTTTTCAGCACGCATTATAAAGACATGAAGAAAATCATTATACGAGTAGTTTCACTCCTCCATGCTGTCAAAAGGGGTCCAATCCACCATCCATTTCATGAAACATCATTAACATGAAGTTATTATTAGTCATTTGGCTAGGTGATAGCTTCAAATTCCATTCTTTCAATTATTTAAAATTTGTCCCCTGGGACAAATGCTAGAAGAATACCTCACTTAAGACATGACCACTTCTTCTCAAATCCTTTCCAATTCATCTGCCATCCCACCATCTCATGCTATATAGTCGCAATAAAAGACAATTTTGTCAAATAACCAACGAAATGAAAAGTGATTCCAGAATTTCCAACTAATGTCCTTCAGAGGCTTTGCATATAACTACAATGTGCATTTGAAAATTAGCTGTTAAAAGAAACTTCTACTACTGTAGTTTTATCAGCTCACCTCTATGAAATGGCAGAACAGCAGCCAGCCCACCAATTCCATGTGGCTGAGTCTTTCTTCAGAAGATCAGCTCCTCAATAATTTCCAACATTTTATGAAAACCTGAAGGTTCATTAACAAGTTCAACAGAGCCCTCCCACTGGTCCCTATCTGAGCCAGATCAATCTGGCCTGTGTCACCCCACCTATCTCTCCAAGATCCATTTAATATTATCCTTCCACCTACGTCTAGTCTTCCTAGTGGTCTCTTTACTTCTGTTTTTGCCATGAAATTCATACATGAATCCCAAATCACACTCATGTGTGTTCTTAACCACCTTTACTAAATCATTCTGATTATACTTTGTGAAGGGCACAAGTTCTCATGTGGAGGCAAGTTAGAACACCTCTACTATAGCCCTGGTATTCACAGAAGGTGACAAAAAGGGAACCTGGTACCTGTGTACATAATTGGGACACTCTGCCACTGGTGGACATAAATACAGAGACTTGGTCCTCCAGGTTGGAGGTTGGTTGCATGTCCAACGGATCTTACTCTGTAAAAAAATTACTGCTGCAAAATCCAAAGATGTGAAAACCAGATGGTCAACCTTCCAACAAAGACTATGGCTCAAAAAAGGGCTGTTTTGCCAGTGATGAAAATGAGTCAAATTTATGAAGCTCCTCATTATGCAGTTTTCTCCATCCCTCCTACCCTTTCACTCCCCATCAGTCCAAATATTCTCCTTGACAAACTTCTTTTGAACACTCTCAGTCCATGTTCTTCCTTTAGTGTCACAGGCCAAGTTTCACACCAATACAGAATCACAGGAAAAAATATAGTTCTGTATATTTTAAATTTTATGTTGTTAGATGGCAGACAAGGAGATGAACAGTCCTGAAGTGCATGCTAGTAACCATTACACAAAATCAATCTTCTCTTAATTTCCTCATGAATAAAATTCTGATCTGTTACTCTCATTCCATATTATTTGAACTCTTACCACGTTTTAAAAAGGTCCGTTAGCAATCTTTATGTCATGATTCTGCCCTGAACTGTGGTAACAAGACATCAAAACATACTTAGTTTTCCCTGTTTACTTCTTGATCAACCTCCTTACTTGCATCAACCAGAGCTTCTGTGTTTCTCTTTTTGTGGTATTTATGTTATCTCCCACTAGATTCAAATCATCAGCATAAACCAGAAGCTGATGTGCCCCACCTGGTTTTCCTGGACTTTCCTAATGGCATAATCTAAAGCAAAGATGCAAATAATGGCAATAACGAACCACCTTGTTTTACACCATTCTGAACACGAAATGATCACACAAGTGTTCACCTATACACACTTTACTCATCATCATCATCATCATCAGTAATCTATCAGACAACAAGTCCACAGTCTCTTCCAAAACAATTCCTCCACTTCAATGCGATCTAGAGCTTTCTCCTTCAAATGACAGTATCCTCTTCTGTCCCCAAGGTTACTATGGGTTACATTTAAACACATATTAACCAACCTCAATACTTTCACGTGTACCCCAAACTATTAGAATATTGTAGAATATGTTCCTTATAACTGAATCATAGGTTCTCTTCCAAGTCTATGAATATCTGATATAGCTTCTCATTTTACTCCCATTTTTCTCCCACATGATGAATTAAAAAATTATCAGTGGATGACCTGTTACATCAAAACCCATACTGATGAACTGCAACAATTTAGTCTATATGGATACTTGATAAAATTTTGTATGAAATTGACCAGAGTGGCATGCCTCAATAATTACTAGTCAGCTTTATCGCCCTTCTTGTAAACTGTTAAAATAATTGACTCCTTCCATTTCTCAGACAATTCTTCCTTGTTTCAAAGAGATTTGAAGAGTCCATGAAGCTCATAATGTAAGGTTTCACGTTCTGCTTGAATCAGCAGTTCTGCTGGAATTTTATCACCATCTGGCAATTTATACTTTTTCAGCTTTGTAATAGCAATTTCAACCTAAAAATGAACTAGGTTGAGCTGTATGTATTTCTATCTGCATAACATCACTGACCCTATGAACATTCAACAGCTGAGAGCAGTAATTCTTCCAGCTCTTAAGAATGTTGTGGGAATGTGCAAGCAGGTCACCATTCTAATACTCTACTAAGTTACTTGCAGGTTGATAANAAAAAAAAGTAAGTAAAACTAGCCGTGTAACAGGCCGTGAAGGCCCATAGGGTTGTGAGAAGTTGAGGGTCCACATTATCTAGACAATTGGCTCAAAGATGGTGGTAAGGTTGCCAGCCTTATGCACTTTATTCCCAAGGAAAATTATTTAATTCATTCCTTGTTCTATATGGTACTCATTTCTGTTAAGAGGCTGAGCCGACCCCATGGCCATAGTGAGGCCGGAAGGATTAGGTCAACTGAAAAAATTCAATGACCTCATCAGGACTTGAACCCATGACCTTCTGGCTTGCAGGATACTGCCTCAATCAACTACGCTACCGTGGACTTCCAGTTTGGTAACCCTTCTTAAATTCATTTATTCCTCAGTACAGGTCTCTAATATTCTTGTTCTTACCGTAAGTTGCAAGCTCATTAATTTTTCAGATATTCTTTTCTTTCTTGAAAAGCCTGCTGGCTTCACATAATATATTGTTCAGTTATCCCCAATTATTTGGCTGCAATTTAGCTTTCTTCCCTTGATCTAATAGTTCTGAACACCCCTTGTCAAATCATGGCTTATGTTACTTCAACCTGCATTAACCTGGACTCAGAATTACTGGGTATTTGGACTTTGTCCATCATCTGGGATTTTAAAGAAACTATACAACACTATATTTCCAACATTTGATTTGTATCTGTCCTCAGGTGAAGGGGGAGATACCTACTCTACTGGGTCCCTTAGAAAGGGCTAACCTCAATCACTGGAGAACCTGTAAGTGTGTAACTACAGCCATATAAGAACCTGAGAAAAGGCACTGTCAAAGGGACATAACAGGGGGGGGGACGTATGATAGAAACTTTGATAAATAAATATCACAATTTTTTTTGTACATCTTTCCTGTTATCTTCCTTTGACAAAGCCTGGTCTCATGTATTTATACAGCTGTAGTTTTATTAACATGGGCTGTCCAGTGATTAAGGTTAACTCTTTGTAAGGGGCCCAACAGAGTAGATGTCTCCCCCTTCACATGAGGAGGAAACAATTCCAGTTTCCAAAACGTTATTCTCTAGCTTTTTAGAATACTGGATCATGGAAGAAGTCCAAATACCCAGTAATTCTGAGTGTTATACACCAACGTCAGTACCCTTTAGAATCAACCTAGACTTTCTCTGGCTGAAATTGTGCCACTCTGATAGTTCCCCAATCTCTATTAATATCCATATTATCATTTATATTTTCCAAAGCTGTGAATGCATTTGACATTTCAAACCGGTTCAGATATTTGGGAACACGATAACAGATCGAAACCTGATTCAGGGGGAAATTAAGAGGTGACTGAACTTGGGTAATGCTTGCTAGCATTCAGTCCAGAACCTTTTGTCTTCTCGTCTGTTGTCCAAAAACATAAAGATTAGAATATACAAAACTGTAATTTTGCCTGTGGTTCTGTATGGGTGTGAAACTTGGTCTCTGACATTAAGGGAGGAACAGAGACTGAGGGTGTTTGAGAACAGGGTGTTGAGAAAAATATTTGGACCAAGAGAGATGAAGTCACAGGAGGTTGGAGAAAACTGCATAATGAGGAACTTCATAACTTGTACTCTTCTCCAAGTATATTTATAATGATCAAGTCAAGGAGGATGAGGTGGGCAGGTCATGTAACACGAATGGGGGAGATGAGGAATGCGTATAGGATATTGGTGGGAAAGCCAGAAGGAAAGAGCCCACAGGAAAGACCAAGGCGTAGGTGGGTGGACAATATTAGAATGAATCTTAGAGAGATAGGATGGGATGGTATGGATTGGATAGATCTGGCTCAGGATAGGGACCAGTGGAGGGCTCTTATGAACATGGTAATGAATCTTCGGGTTCCATAAAATGCTGGGAAATTCTTGAGTAGCTGCAGAATTGGCGGGTCCTCCAGAAGGGCTCAGCTCCATGAGTAAGTAAGTAAGTAAGTAAGTACTGTTCTTTGCCCTCCTAACTCATTTAGTTTTTTGATTCCTGAACCTCTCCATACCAAGTTTTTGCGTTGTCTGCTTACTTACTGCCAGCCTCTCCCTAACTTCTACCACAACCAGACAGTGGGCAGTATCACAGTCAATGACAGAAGTGCAAAAGCAAATTACCTGTCGGAAGTCCTTGAATTGTGGATAGTTGAATCCCAGTGCCTGTTTGAACTCAACAGGTCGCAACACACAGTATTTCCCACTCCAAATTTTCTGGAGCAGTGAAGCAAACTGATCAGTGAGTGAGTGAACATTTTCTTTTTCAGAAAATGGCCGTGAGAGGAAGGACTGCATCAGGGGTGGAGCAACAGTCAGGCACTGCAGACCTGATGCCATGAAACATGTGTTGCCCAAGTTTCTCAAGCCACACACTCCAGGACATGCAGCTGAATCTAGGACATAAATCATCTCCATGATAAAAGGTGCTCTCACCACAGCAATGTGAGGATATCCATACATGATCAGTTCAGGGCAAGACAATGTCTGTCAGTTTTCAATTTCTATGAAAAACAAATGAAAAACTAATCACAGGTAGTCACAATGGGACCTGATGATGGGAGCAATAAATGACAATGTTGCAAATCAGTACAGTAAAATGTCAGCATAATAAATTCATCCAAATGACAAAATAGTCCTCATTATAACAAATTTTCATTATTCTGAATGACATTTAGAAACGTTAGAATGATAAATACACTTAAAAAATTAAAAAGGGTCAAATTTAACTGTAACAACAACAAATGATAACAGAAATGAATTGTAACTTTTATATAACAATGAACTATAACAAAATATAACATGCAGGGGCAGCCCACGTATAGGCACTGTGGAACTGCAGCACCCCCAATTTCCACTTGATATTATCAATAACATTTATATAATGAGTCCTTTTCTCTTTAATTCTTTCTTTATACTTGTACAATACAATATATAATCTTTAAGCTTAATGTCAGTAGCCAAATCTTTGTATGGAACTGTGTGCTTCACAGTTCCAGTGGCGAGGTGTTTGTTGACTGTTGTCTGTTGTGCGCATGCGCACATAGGAAGCTGCACGCGAGGCTGCAAGGAAGACAGAGCACTGTCGTTCCTGCAGTGCCGACCCTGGTGTGCTGGTGGAAGGTAGTTTTTTTTCACTCCACGTGTGTTGTGCTTAAAAACCGTGTACAATATTCTTGTATGTGAGTTCATTGTAGAATTAGATTATTATCCTGCTTCCAGCTACTCTATTTGATTCATTTTTTTTTCGGTTCTTTTATTTAACAGAAAACTTTAACCATGGTCTTGCATCCCCAAGAAATAAGTTCTGTGACTGTAAGTGAACTTCAACAGCTCAAGTTTTCACA